TTTTTTTTTTTTTTTTTGAGACAGAGTTTTGCTCTTGCTGCCCAGGCTGGAGTACAATAATGCGATCTCAGCTCACTGTAGCCTCCGCCTCCTGGGTTCAAGTGATTCTCCTGCCTCAGCCTCCCAAGTAGCTGGGATTCCAAGCACATACCACCACACTCAGCTAATTTTTTTTTTTTTTTTTTTTTTAAGTAGAGATGGGTTTCTCCATATTGGTCAGTCTGGTCTCCAACTCCTGACCTCAGGTGATCAGCCTTCCTTGGCCTCCCAAAGTGTTGGGATTACAGGCGTGAGCCACTGCACCTGGTCACAAATCTTAAATGTTTAAAAATATTTTAAGAAGTTACTAAGTTAAAATAACTTAAAACATATATAAGCAGGACGGTGGGCATGGAACTCAGAATCCGCCAAGGTATGTATAATAACTCACCTGCCCAAAGCAAAACAAAACATATTCATCACATTCATTAAACATTCTTTTCCTGAAGTGCCAAGGCCTCTTCTTTGAGGATAAGCCCACCTTTAATGCCAAAGCAACTCACCTTTATCAAGTCTTTCTGAAACATTCAGCTTAAATTTCAGAGAAGCAACTCTCTTTAGGCATACGGCTTCAGTTTATCTAATCACAGTAACAAGTACACATCAGGCAAATAGATTTGGGAACAAACAGCTGGCTCTTGATGAACAAACAACCCACCTGGTGGAGCAGGGCTGGCCTTTGTACACCAGGAAGTAGCCTAGAGCTCTGAGATTCCGAGGGCCTGGGCATCTGTAGTAGTAGGTTTCACAGAGACGGTGTGAAACGTCAGTGAGTCTGCTTTGGTGGACTTGTTTAAGAGGCATTCTGTCTGTCCTTGCTAGATCAGAGTTGTTCAAAATCAATAAGCGTATGGTAAAGCACTATGAAAAGTATGAAGTGGCTTGCTGCATTGGCTCACGCCTATAATCCTAGCACTTTGGGAGGCTGAGGCAGGTAGATCACCTGAGGTCAGGAGTTTGAGACCAGCCAGACCAACATGGTGAAACCCCATCTCTACTAAAAATATGAAAATTATCTGAGCACAGTGGTGGGTGCCTATAATCCCAGCTACTTGAGAGGCTGAGGCAGGAGAATTGCGTGAACCCAGGAGGTGGAGGTTGCAGGGAGGTGGAGGTTGCAGTGAGCTAAGAACTCCAGCCTGGTTGACAAGAGTGGAAACTCCATTTAAAAATAAAAGCCAGGCACAGTGGGTCACACCTGTAATCCCAGCACTTTGGGAGGCTGAGGCAGGTGGATCAACTGAGGTCAGGAGTTCTAGACCAGCCTGACCAACATGGCGAAACCCTGTCTCTACTTTGTAAAAATATACTCTCTGTTTTATAAAAATATAAAAATTAGTAGGGTGTGGTGGTGCATGCCTATAGTCCCAGCTACTCGGGAGGCTGAGACAGGAGAATCACGTGAGGCAGAGGTTGCAGTCAGCTGAAATTGTCCCACTGTACACCAGCCTAGGCAACAAGAGCAAAACTCCATCTCAAAAAA